CTAGTTGTTTTATTGTCTTTGGGGGTGTAGGAAAACTGTGATGGATAAACAGTTGTTGCAGATGGTAGTAGTCATGCCGGCACCTCATCCCATTTGACCGCATTGGGGGAGAAATATTGAGCATGAATATTATTTGTCATTGCTGATTAGGTTGGTGACTTGGTGAGAAGGCTGGTGCAAAAATGAAAGAGTCTCTCAAGGCCACAAGAGGCAGACAGAGCAGATCAGCAGAAGTTGAAGACCAGGATTATTTGGCAGGCAAGCAATCACGAGAATGGATGTTTATCACCCTGGCTTGTGAGTTGTTGATTGCTTCGGTTAAAAAGACTTGCCCAATGATACTAAAAAGAAATGATATTGCAAGTTCAAGATACGTCTGTTGAAAGACGACTCTGTTGGGGATTGAACCCATAATCTCTGCTCTGGTTTCGTAGACCAGCGCCTTATCCATTGGGCCACAGAGTCGCTTTTTTGGTGAGGTTTTTTCTTAAATGATCAAGTCCAAATCCACATTGCCATGTTTTGGGCCATCTACCATTCACGTCGTTTCTCTGTCTGGCCCATCCACCACGTTTCAGAACGAAAATATATCACCAAAATCACCAAAAAAAATTTAATCTGTGTTTCTTTTAGCATGTGGTGCATGTGGGACCAATTAACAGTTGACACGTGTTATAAATTAGGTGAGAAATGACCATTTACCCACTAAAGTTCATCACATCCATACATAGGTTTTAGTTTTTTGGACACATGGCATCTTTTGATTCGGCCCGCATGCCCACATACAACTAAGACACACAGATAAAATTCTTTACCAAAATCACAAAATGAGTCAGTTCATAAGTCGGTTATTATCCCGAAATCATTTTTATCGGCCGATATCGGAAATTTTAAGTACAAGTGTACACCACTCGAGAATCTTCTAATACTGTATGTTGTTTGATCGGTTCTGAGATTGAGTAAAGATTCATCTTCATCATCACAGAGAACAGAAAACCCTAATTATCGAAGTCTAACACTAGAGTAGAGAGAACAGACGAACAACAATGGCGACAACGGATGGAGAACTGCAATGTGTAGGTAGATTAGAGATCGCAAGACCAAAACCAGTTGGTGGTTTTCTTTGCGGATCGATTCCTGTTTCAACTGATAAAGCTTTTCATTACAACAATGCTCTCAATTCGTCTGCCCTTGTTCCTTCTCCATCCTCTTCTTCTCAATCGTAAGTAACTGGCAGCAACTTCCAATTTACTCAATCGTCGTTGTTAAATTGAAATTAAAACGTAGCTAATTTGTTATTCTCGTTTTTTGTATTTTCAGAGTGAAAGCACCAAGATATCGAATGCTTCCTACTGAAACCGACCTTAATACACCTCCTTTTTTGCCTAATCTCCCTCACGAAGTTCTCCCTGTTGCTGCAATCAACGCAAGAAGTTCCACTGGAGGTAATTGATAAGCTGAGAAAGTTTATTTTCTTACTATTTTTGTGCAAAATATCAATGTTTTTAACAAAGAGAAAAGTTTGATATCTGTGGATTTTATAAGAAGGATAATAAGTAGAATTAAGTGAAACAGGAGTATCACTAACTAAACATCTGCATGAATATCAGCTTCAGATAGGCCATGAAAGATTGTGTCTATGTAGTTGTTGTTTCATTGACTTTCGACATGATGTTGCTGCATAAAATAAGTTTGAAGAACATTAATCGAGGATTAAATAAGTTAGACAGAACTCAGAATTCATCTCTACAAGGAATAGACAATTGGATAACTGCCTAATGATACCTTCAAATTTTCTGTTTTCGCAATAGTAGGAATATTTAGGTGTAGTGGTGACATAGAATAAGCCATGTACAACTTATGGCATTTTCTCTACTAGTTGTGTTATGCGGTTACCAGATTTTTTTATGGTGGAGTAGAATTACCGTGCTATCATTTCTTGGGGTTGGATTAGCTTGCAGTGGGATGTAATTTTATTAGATAGAGAGGGTGCATGTTCTTAATTTTGATCTGCACATTTTATTAGATAGAGAGGGACACTCTCTTTACTTGCAAATAACATAGATGCAAGTCTGCAACTCAAGTTTTTGACATCTGTCTAATTTTTACTTGTAACAAAGTGAACAATTTGAATCTCAAGTTCTATAGCCTTTTAAATTCATAGCTCAATAACTCGACATAGCCGTTATTTGCTAGAATTGTTTCAATATGTATTTGACCTTCAAGATATTATAGTTTATGTATCGACACAACTGTGTAACATCTTAACAAACACCTTATAGCCGCATACATTGGATTATTTGTTATGGCGTTATGGGTTGTACGTTGTCTTGAGTTATAATTTCATTAACAGATCTACATTGGGAAAGTAGCGCTATCAGTCAAAATCTTGCAAGGAAATGTGAGGCACTTGCTGTATCTGGTCTGGCAGAGTATGGAGATGAGATTGACGTGGTTGCTCCAACTGATATTTTAAAGCAAATATTTAAGATACCTTATTCTAAGGCGCGGCTATCTATTGCGGTCCATCGAATTGGACAGACACTTGTTCTTAACTCAGGGTATATTGATAAAGTTGTTGCTTCTTTTTTCTAGTCTTTTGACTTTAAACTTATATTACATTGTGTTTGTGAATAATTTATAACACAGGCCCGATATCGAAGAGGGAGAAAAATTAGTTAGAAGACATAGCAGCCAATCAAAATGTGCAGATCAGTCTTTGTTCTTGAATTTTGCAATGCATTCAGTGAGAGCAGAGGCGTGTGACTGCCCTCCTACTCAATATACCTCATCAGACAAGGAATCAAGTTCTACCATATTACCTGGCGATTATAAGTCTAGGGAGGATTCTTTTATGTCATCTGATCATCCAGGACATGGGGATGCTACTCCTTTATTTTCTCAGAGAGATGCTGGTACACAAAAGGATCCAATAAATAATCATCCAGAGTGTTCACAGGTCAATCAGAACAAATACTGGAAGAGCAAGCGTAACAACAGGAGTACCAGGCATGACGATGTCAAGAAAGTGTCACAAATTGGAGAAAAAACCAGATGCCCAATGAAGGAGTCTGAAAAGTGTCGAAGACTTGGTAATGATAGTTTTTTGAGGGTTCTATTTTGGCAATTTCACAATTTTCGCATGCTTTTAGGAAGTGATTTGCTTCTATTCAGTAATGAGAAATATGTTGCTGTGAGCTTGCATCTATGGGATGTAACCCGACAGGTGAGCAATTACCCCTCTTTCATGTAGTTTTCTTTTTCATTACTGTTTTACTGGATAAAAAGAAGTAGTTGTCTTTCTCCTTCATTTTGGTGGTATTTTGTTCCAGGAAACTCCTTTGACGTGGCTTGAGGCCTGGCTTGACAATATCATGGCCAGTGTCCCTGAATTGGCGATATGTTATCATCAAAATGGTGTTGTGCAAGGGTATGAACTCCTGAAAACAGATGATATATTCTTGTTGAAAGGAATCTCAGAGGATGGAACTCCAGCATTTCATCCTCAAGTTGTACGACAAAATGGCCATTCAGTATTACGATTCCTTCAAGACAACTGCAAGGAAGATCCTGGTGCTTACTGGGTACTACTTATTTGAATTCACTTTACGTTCTTCTTGAATATAAAGTCTTCTTAGTTTCCACAGATGTTCGAAGGTATAACTCTTGCTTTGATTCTATTTTCAGCTCTACAAAAATGCTGGGGAGGATGTAATTCAACTTTTCGATCTTTCTGTGATCCCTAAAGGCCATTCTTCAGAAGATCAAGATAGAAGTTCTAGCGATCTTCCATCTCTGATGCATAGAGGACGACGGGATTCCTTATTTTCACTGGGGACTCTTCTGTTCCGTCTGGCTCACAGGCTTTCAATGGTATCAAATTAGAGACTAAATCAATTATGTTGCGTTCCATTAAACAATTGTGCTTGACTATTGGCTAATGGTTCTTGCTGCAGGCACCTAATAGTAGGGCCAAGTGTGCAAGGCTTTTCAAAAAATGTTTTGATTTCTTGGATGAACAGGACCATTTGGTACAATTTTAATATTTACTTCCATTTTTGTTTTGGTTGTTTCATATGTCAGAAAATTGTCAAATTATTAACGGAATCAGAATTAATATAAATCTGTGCTGAAATAGGTAGTCCGAGCATTGGCTCATGAGCAATTTGCAAGACTGATCTTAAAATGTTATGAAGAGTTGGATGTATCATCTGAATTTGTTGTGCTAGAATCTGAAGTCACAGTCAGAGACACGAAAGATCAATCTTCAGATTCTTCCTTAGGAATCTCAGGACCAGTTCTGCATGTGGAAACTTCTAAAATGGTAGAAGATGTAACTTCAAATAAAGGCTTAAATACTCTTCCGGAATCCAGATCAGGGGAAGCATCAGAAATTAGGACACCGGAAGCATGCGCATCAGCTTCTAGAAACTTTCTTACATCAGGAGGTGAAGAATTGGGGGATCCAGAACGAGCCATACTGAGTTGCGGTGATGAATTTCAGATTTCCACAACTGCTGCACAATTTGTTCAGACGGTTCCCGATCCAATCTCTACTAAGTTAGCTGCGGTACATCACGTATCTCAAGCTATCAAGTCCCTCAGGTGGAAGCGTCAGCTACAAACTTCTGAAGTAGAGTTTGTTGATCATGGGAAGAGAACTCAGGAAAGGTCTTCAGCCATTCAGTTTTCTGTATGTGCTTGTGGTGACCCTGACTGTATCGAAGTGTGTGATATCCGAGAATGGATTCTGAGATCTAAAATGGACCATAAGTTATGGAAACTTGTTCTTCTTCTTGGAGAATCTTATTTAGCTCTTGGAGAAGCTTACAAGGAGGATGGCCAATTGCATCAAGCTCTGAAGGTTGTTGACTTAGCCTGTTCTGTGTATGGGTCAATGCCTCAACATCTTGAAGATGCACAGTTCATCTCATCTATGACTTGTAGCAACTCATTTCAGGAGAATTTTTTAAGTAGAAGTAGAAATATAAGATCTTTAGATGGAAAGACAAACATGGATTTGACTCATTTGAGTTCTTCTGAAGATTCAGTTGATCAGTACTCCTCTATTTATCTATTCTGGGCCAAGGCATGGACACTTGTAGGGGATGTATACATCGAGTACCATAATAGAAGTAAGGAAACGTCAAGCCAATCAGCAAAAACAGAATCCAGCAGTGACGTGAAAATATCGACTGAAGTTGAGAAAGAAGTTAAACGGCTCAAGAAAAAGTTGGGGCATTTTAAGCAGAATTGCAGCACTTGTTCTTTAATAAATTGCAGTTGCCAGAGTGATCGGGTAAGCAGTGGTAACAGTGCAAGTAGTAGCAGTGGAAGTGTGCAATCTTCAACTTATGGTAGAAAACAGAGTAAAAAACCTAATATGAAAAACTCATCAATATCAGCTTTGAGGGTCCCAGAAGGTGAAGGTCGCCACTTAGGAGTGGAAACTGCAAATTCTTTTG